ACACCTCGACCTTTGATTATTCCGGATATCACAAAATCTCATTCAAAAGGTGTTCAATATATATAGTTTATCCAACTCGTAAACATGACCATATTTGGAAATATGATTAAAACTTGCATTAGTGCATGCTTTACGATTGACCAGCTGTGTCCTTAAACTTGACTTTGCCCATGCCTGGAGAGGAAAATCTATGAGTGTCTACATTATGCCGAATCGCTTTTTATGTCCACGTGAAAAGCTATCCGTTTATCCGTTTTAGTACAAACAAAAAGAACGGGAACAAGTCGTTCACACGGAGCAGTTGAAGACTCCTACCCATTCGCTATTTATGTGTTTTAGGGGTGAGAGAAGATTGAAGGTTGGGGAGAAGGTTGAGGCGCGCGGGGATGAATAAGATTAATAGCGACTGGGTACTAGCCAGGAGCAGTTGGCCGAGAGGGTTTGGCGACTAAATCCCAATCCTCACTTCCGCTTATATTTACTTCCGTCTTTGTGGGTTCCAGTCCTCCCTCCGACTCTTTTATTTTCGCCACGGTTGGAATACCCGTTACCCGTTCACACTGCGACGAAGAGTTGCACAGAAACCAACCCGATATGATACGATTCACTTTCTAGATCGGTGTTGCTTCAAATGAAAGTAGCAAGATTGCTAGTATTAACGATGAAATTCTAGTTTTGATGAATTTGGAGAAAAGTTTCCTTTGCTGTTTCAAAGGTACATTCCTGAATGGGGAAAATTGGTTTTAACACTTTTTCTTTCACTAAGTCATTTGGCTTGCCAGAGACCCGTGACACGGTTGTGACGTCATCCAAAAATCACCCCCATATTGGCCACTACTTTGACACTTTTTGAAAATAGAATTAAATGAGTTTTTGGTGCTTTTATGCTTCTTATGACATTTGACGAAACGATGTCAAATGACTTCCTGCTGGAATATGTACAAGGAAACCCCAATTACCTTCGAAGAGAGTCTGACGACAGATTAAAAATGTCCTGGAATTAAAACTTTTCAGCGCCCTGGCGGGAGAAGTGGTTTGTTAATCAAATATTGACTTTCCCAAGTTTCGAGGGGAAGATGTTTTAGGATGGTTATGGCATCGGAGAGATCAGCAATCACGGTGAACAGCTCGTTTTCTTCAGGTTTAATACAACATAAGTCATTACAAATCTGAAGGTTATACCAGAAACTAAACATTGTATCGTACAACGTGCTGGGATCAAGTAGAAGCACTTAGTTTCAACAAGCCTACTTAATGATGTATAACAGATGGACCATTAGGAAAGCAAAGGGGATGGGTGGGATTTTTGGGAGGTCTGTGAAAGTTTTCTCTCTACCCTTGGGGTGGAAATCTGTTTGTCCTCCTCGAACAGTTTTTTAGCTCATGGTACGTGGGGAAATTTTTTTCTTAATAATTTACTTGGAAGTTTTTTTTTTTGGGCGTTTGCCTCTCCCCAACCTCCAATCTTTTTTTCTAATGGTGACATCCCTAAATTAAAGCAGCTTCTTTAAATAACTGAGGGATGGCTAAAAGTCAATGGCCTAGAGAAAAGCAATCTAAAGGCGGCAAAAATAGGTCATATTCTCGATAGAGTGATGGTAGCTCGAATGATTGCTGTGGTTTCCTAACGCCAAACCTCAGAACGTTGCTGTGTATGTGTTTTGGAACTGATCTATTTGATTAAAAGCCCAACTTCTACAACCTAGCATAATTACAACAGAACATCATTAAGTTATTGGAGCGTCCAAAATCTTAATCTAATCTGATCCACTGTTTGGTTATTTAAGTTAACATCAATTCAATTATTGCTGTTAGATCGCTAACGCAATAGTACATGAAAAGTTGTTAACGAGAACTGATCTATTTCATTAAAAGCCCTACTTTTACAAGCACTCCATTACAAAAAATCGTTAACTTATTGGAGCGTCCAAATCTGATCTGATCCACTGTTTTGATACTTTAAAGTTGACATGAATTAAAGCTGTTGGACCACTAACGCTGTAATAAGAAACAAGATTAAGAGATAACCCTAGTTTAACGGCAGAACAAACAGTCTACAAGTGCAGAGACAGAGGCGAGTTCAGCTCTACAAGGAAGTGGTGGTGGAAAAATAGAGAAGGAAAATAAATTTTGTTTTCGGATGAAAATTAGATTTCGGGCCCTTTTTCCTTCGTTTGCAGGCATGGAATGACTATCTGGCAACGCTTTTGATAAAAAAAGGTTATTAAAATAAGGCAAAAGTTACTCTAATGATTCTTAGAAGGTTCAATTCGCCAGCGGCCACTCGCTTTCGTCTCTGCGCAGGATATTCAATGTATCGTCCAAAACTTACTCTTAAAACTACGAGCATATTTATTATATTTATTATATCATATTTACTCTTTGTATGAAACGCTAATAATTTATCCATATAAGTTAAACTTGCCCCCGAAATCCATTTTACTTGAATTTAAAAGCAGTTTTAATTAAGTGACACAATGTGTGTCCCAATTTATAACATCAGTACAGAATGCAGACTGCTCTCAGTGCAAAACATTGTTTTCACCATGCAAATGGAACGTGACAACAATAGTCCCATTGACAAATGCATATGAAATAAATCATATATGAGAACTGCGGAAATGATATCAAATGAAGAATGATCCTCGCAGTTGTGAACGCAATTTATGCAATAATTGCGTAAGAAGGCTGAAAAAAAATATTCAGGACTTCAACGGGATTTGAACCCGTGACCTCGCGATACTGGTGCGATGCTCTAACCAACTAAGCTATGAAGCCACTGATAGTCCCATTGTTTTCTATCCCTGAAAACAATGGTCTGCAGTCTACATTTTGGACTGTCCACCAATTTATACATGAAGGATCAACAAGACATGAACATATTCATTTTTTTTTTTATAAAATAATCCTAGTTCTGGGAAACCAGGGATCAATCATAGAAAACGTAATACACCCTTTCAACCTTAAAACACTGAATTGTGACCAAAACACTTACAGTGCATACTTAAAATTTTAAAAAATATCTGATTAAAATCTGAATCACTCCACTGAAACCACGGCCACGCTTGTAAATAGTTAATTGGATCGTCTTCGTCCCGTTGGGATTCTTGACCCTCGGACGTACAAGGGGGGTGCCTGCCCCCCTCTAAGGGTTTTTAGATCTTTTTTAGACGATAAAGCATCAGCACCTGACGTTTTCAGTAGCTGTTCGTTTATTCCTCGCGTGCATTTTGAGGCAAATTTAGTGAGCGTCAGTTACTATGGTTACAGGATATGACATCATAAGTGGTAGGTGGTCAAGCCATTTTTGAGTGAAAATGCATGTTCTTTCAACTTTTTTCAACAATAAAAGTAAAACTTGTGAATGAAATGATGCAGAGGGCTTATTTATGTGTTATTTTACATGTGAAGCACAAAAAATTACCATTTATCGCGATTTTAACTTGATTTCTGATTCTTGGTAAAATCCAAGACGGCGGTCAAGGTGGCGACCATTGTTGGTGACGTCACAGGCCTCCAGCAGTGTCACCACCCATAAAATATACGTCATCTTGCTGGGTAGATCAAAGCAGGAGCCCATCAAGGCTTTCCACTGAAGGCAAAATCATTTCGAAGTACTGCAACATATCAAAAACTCTGTGGAGGGGTTCTATCCCCACCCCCCCCCCCCCCTTGTACCACGGTGGGGGTATGAATTTGCGTGTACGTCCAAGGGTTAACCCTGTTAAATTAATTTGCATTATTTGTTTCAGACATTTGCTTTAAAGCCAAGGGGAAAAAACTGAAAAGGAATTATTAAGATTATGATGATGGTGATTATTATTATCATCAATATTGCGATTATTACAATGCAATTTTCCTTTGCCAAATAATAATTTGCTGGTTAAAGCAGGTTACACGACAAAAGGGGCCATCATCCATACTACTGTTCAGTCACTTTCGCGGGAATAACGAAATACATGTAAACAACGTTACCACGAAAATTCTCTGTCTTTTTCCTAAGATAAAATTAATAAGTTTAGCCGTGGCTGATTTAAAAACGTTTTTTTGATGAGTATTAATTAGGGAGATTTAGAGTTACGTTTACGTCAAAGCGTGGATTTGTACCACGTGACCAGGGGTTCCCTTTACTTCTCGTTTGCTGTTAATTAAATCTACAAAAAATTGTTAGTTTCAAGTTAGTTTTATCCATAAGAATTGCTTAGACCTGTATTCATTTTACCTACATATTTTCTATTTAGAGAAATTCTTAACTTGAATTTGCTGACGTTTGCCGTTCGCCGTTAGCGTGGCTCTAAATCTCTCTAATATCTTCTGAAAAAATGACTAAAATGAAAACACGCTTTTTTACCAAACGTCCCATTGAGGACATTCCTCTATCAAATAACGAACTGCTTTCTTTGGGGAAATCCAGATATATACACGTTACTTCAGCAGTTGTGTTGACATCAAACTTTCAGCTCATCCCTGTAAAGAAAGTAACAATTGATGCATTAATTCACATTTTTTGAAAAACTAAATTAAGATCAAAGCGGTAAATTTTAGGATGCCTTGAATGGTGATGTGAAAAATGGCAAAATGAGAAACATTTGTCATATTAGACATATTTGTTTTTCATGAAGCTATTAATTATTGGTCAACATATAGAGCTAGTACTCTAAGAATTTGAAGGCAGCTTATTGCAAAATGTATCTTTCACGTACATTGTCCCTAAATTAACTAAGAATTGAGAAAAGTGATGGTGATCTAGTGTTCGAATGATTTCTAAAAGATTTGCTTGGTAGGAATAACATGTGATTGTGTGAACCATTAATGGTACATAATTAGCACACCTATCCTTACTGTGTATATATTTCTCTTTTTTTACCAGTTATTAACAAGTCTGCCAAAGTTCTTACATTTCAAGTTGAAAACAATAGTTCAGACTTTTATTCTTCAGCCTTCTATTTAAGAAAAGAAAACAAGAAAAAAGTAATAAAAACTCTCTACTTACGATTTCCTCAATGTTTTTTCTTCAATTCAATCTTAACATCATCACCAATCAGAACAAATGGAGCCCAGTACTTCGGGGCAGAAAAATCGTGGGAGTCTCGAAGACATTTCATGGCCCTCTGAAGAGCAACACTTGCACTTTCTCCACTTCCAAGTTGTTGGTAGAAAGACTTCATAAACATTATTGTGGCTTCGTCATCAATATCCCAAAGAGTCGCCAGCACGGAACGAGCACCAGCAAACAAGAAAGCACGTGCCATACCGACCACACCCTCAGACGAGACCTTTCCTTGACCACTGTGGGGGCAACTAAGCACAACAAGCCTCGCTCTCAGCCTAAGAGCTTGTATGTCAGACATTTTCAAAATGCAGTCTTCCTCCGTAGGAGGCTTGGATTCCCATCGGGGATCTGGAGCCAAAACAATTTCTCCATTTTCCTTTCTTCCGTGGGCTGCAATGTGTACCAAAGCAACTGACGCTATTCTCTGAAGTACCGCTTCTTTGGTTGCATCTTTACCTGTTAAAGGTTGACTCTCTAGAATTTCTCCAATCATCTCCACTTCCATTCTTGCGTACTTCAGCTGCCCATAAATGGGGTTGCCCCATTTATTTGTAACTTTCTCCAAACATGGGTCTCCGACAAGTAAGGCTCCACTTTTACTGTGGTATTCACATGGAGAATCTGTGATGACTTCCAAACTTGTCAGGGAGGGAACCATACGAATCCTTAACGATTCTCTTAAGGCTGCCCAGGGAGCTAAGCACAAAGCACCGTCGGGGACTACAATAAGTTCATCACCATCAAGCAAGTCTTCAATGGGACCAAGAACTGCATCATATAATGGCTGAAAAAAGTCGGTGCTCTCCTGTGATGGCTCCGATACTTGATTGTCGTCTCGAGTACTTGAGGGAGTTGAGTCATCACTCAGCTTATCCGTTGACCGATTTTCGCACCTAATACCGACGCCAGCCAACTGATACCAACGCCAAATGTTTTTCAAAACAGTGTCTAAAAGGAGAGTAAAGGAATCTTCGTGTTCACCTCCAATTTCTAACTTCGCTTGCCTAAAAATAGGGATTCCCTCTTTTCCCAACACCCAGATATTGACTGTTTTCAAATGAAGGGCAAGAAAAACTGTTAAAACAGTTGTCTTCCTTGAAATACATCTGACTTCTTCTTCAGATTCAATTGACCTGGGAGAAAGTGATGTAAGGCCATAAGTTACTTTTAAGGCATCGAGCAAAGCCTGTGCTCGTCCCCTCTCAGCAGCGTATAAAGCCTCATCATTCCTTTCAAGCATTACTAAAACCTGCCATAAATGAGTATAGGCAAATTGATGTTTCGTACGGAAACTTATTTTCAATTCATCTTCCGAGATAGAACTGGCTCTAATAGTGTCATAGACTTTTACACTGCATCTAAAATGTTCTAAGGCCTCATTCAAAAAATCTGAATACAAAAAAGATTGACCCAGTTTGCTATGGGCACAAGCTTCTGCCATCCTGTCACCGATTTCCTCGGCAATGCCCAGGTGTCGCTTGTAACACTCTACTGCTTCCTTTAAGTCGTGGAGTTCTCTATAACAACTTCCGAGGCGGCAATAGGCTCTTCCTTGTCCAAACCTGTCACCGATTTCCTCGGCATTGCTCAGGCATTGCTTGTAGTACTCCATTGCTCGTGGCACGTCGCCGAGGGATTCATGAATCAGGCCGATGTGTAAATAGGCACGTCCTTTTTCTTTTCTGTCACCGACTTCCTTGGCAATGTTCAGGTGTTTCCAGTGGCACTCCATTGCTCGTCGGAATTCATTAAGGCTGTGATAAGTAGCGCCGAGATCGGAATAGGCTTTGCCTTCCATTGCCCTGTTACCAACTTCCCTGGCAATGATGAGGTATTTATTGGTGTACTCTATTGCTCGTTGGTATTCGCCGAGAAGGAAATAAATATTGCCGAGATTGCCATAGCCTAGCCCTTGCCCTGCCCTGTCACCAACTTCGTTGGCAATGATGAGGTGTTTATTGTTGTACTCTATTGCTCTTTGGAATTCAGCAAGGCTGTGATAAGCAAGACCGAGACTGGCATAGGCTTTGCCTTGCCCTGCCCTGTCACCAACATCCTTTGCAATGATGAGGCATTTATTGGTGTACTCTATTGCTCTTTGGAATTCTTTAAGGCTGTGATAAGCAAGGCCGAGATCGGAATAGGCTTTGCCTTGGCCTGCCCTGTCACCAACTTCCTTTGCAATGATGAGGTATTTATTGGTGTACTCTATTGCTCTTTGGAATTCTTTAAGGCTGTGATAAGCAAGGCCGAGATCGGAATAGGCTTTGCCTTGCCCTGCCCTGTCACCAACATCCTTTGCAATGATGAGGCATTTATTGGTGTACTCTATTGCTCTTTGGAATTCTTTAAGGCTGTGATAAGCAAGGCCGAGATCGGAATAGGCTTTGCCTTGCCCTGCCCTGTCACCAACTTCCTTTGCAATGATGAGGCATTTATTGGTGTACTCTATTGCTCTTTGGAATTCTTTAAGGCTGTAATTAGCACGACCGAGATTGCCATAGGCACATCCTTCACCTGCCCTGTCACCAACTTCCTTTGCAATGATGAGGTATTTATTGGTGTACTCTATTGCTCTTTGGGAGTCACCTTCTAATAGGTAAGCAAAGCCGAGATCTCTATAGGCACATCCTGCACCTGCTCTGTTACCGACTTCCTCAGTAATGCTCAGGTATTGCTTGAGGTACTCTATTGCTCGATGGAAGTCCTCGAGGAAGTAATAAGCTCTGCCTAGATTGTAGTAGGCATCTGCTTTCTCTTCCGTGTTGTTATTGATTTGCGCTATTGCAAGACGCTTTTTTTGTTCAGCTATATCTTGTAGTATTCTGTCTGCCATTTCGAAGTTTTAGTATTCAAAGTGGAACTGTTTCTTGGGCGTAATGCTTCTTTAAAGGAGCGTGGAGGTAGAGAAAAAACAAAAGTAATTGTCATTAATACATTTGAAGTCTTAGAATATGTTCCCATTAGACCGATAAGGTAGCTAGAACTTTCCACTCCTTCCACCGTAGATTTACTCTAACTGACAAACCTTCTGAATTCTTTTTGTCAGTTTCTGAATATCGGTGTTATAACACAATATTTCAAGCAGATAACTTTTAAACTTCTTTCTATAAACTTAGTTGAAAGTAAAAAATCTCCTTATGCTCTACTTAAATATTCAGAAAACAAGAAAGGTTTCAAAAACTAAACATGATATTTGAAACTCCTGTGATACCAAATGAAAATATAGTTGAGAGCTTCTGCCTGAGGGAGGATTGGAAATAGGTGTCGGTCGATTTTGCTCAAATTTGGTACACTTAGTTACTATCATGGAGACTTATACATTATGCCAATGTTTTAGCTCGATTGTCCCTGTTTTGGTGTGAAGTATATAGATCAGCCTTTTTGGGCCGGGTTTTCTGAGGTCGATTTTTAGGTCAATTTTGAGGGTTTTGAATAATTCACCTTTAATGTATGGATCGGAACATTTCTATCCCTAAGGTTTTTATGGCAGAATATGTAGCACATAGAGGATATTACATGGCCGTGCGGAGATACGAAATTTCTCTCCTCGTGTTGAAGATATTTCACTCGTTCGCTGCGCTCAGTCCTGAAATATTTTTCAACACTCGAAGAGAAATTTCGTATCTCCAAGCGGCTATGTAATGTTCTATTTATTATATAAACAGCAATGAAATACAAAACCATTTCAGTTAGACACTTTTTTCCTGCGAAAGGCGCGATTTATTATGTAGCCATAGCAACGGTGATCTTATAACATGTTATTTTCACATGTGAAGATCCTGTTTTCGCGTGAAAGCTCACCTTGTATTTCATTGGTGTTTATAAAATAAAAAGAAATATTTCTATCGTTTGTGACCTTATTTTTTTTTTTTTATGCTCATGCAAGGATGGCAAAAGAAACCGCTAAAGGCCCGAAATAAGTCCAAGTATCTTTGGATTCCACTCCTTTATAAAATTCTTGCATGAGTAGAAAGTGTAGACCTTGCTAACTAAACACCAAGAGGAAAATACTAAGGTTACACGGCTTCCTCTCACTGTGCAGCCGTGCTTTGATGAGTCTATTATTGATAGCCACAACACTCTCCCCATCTAGTTTACATGAAATGTTTCAGTCCAAATAGCCCGTGTATAGGCGCCCTCCCGTTACTAAAGGAAAATGTTTTTTTTTTTCTGACGGGAGGGGGCAGGTCAAGTCCAGAGAAATAGGGCTTGGCTCTAATCCTCAAAAATGAGTCCGCTGCCCGGCGACAATAAAATTACGTGCAAAATTCAGAGAGAGCACAAACTAGAAAACCACAACAAATTTGACAAAATGTTTGAAATTGTTTGCCTTACATAGGGCAGAAATAAAAGCGATTTAATTCATAAACCGTAATTTTCCTGAAAACCTTTCTGACATTACAATTTACATAGTCCCAATGCACATTGAAAAATTTAAAAGGCAGCTGTTTGAGGAAAGATGTCTTGACTAACTAAGTTCATGACCTCAATTTCTTATTAATCGATGCAAGACTTAGTTTCACAAATTTATGTACAAAGCAGGTCTTTCTTCGTTAGCTATTGTCATATAAATGAAAATTATTATAAATCTGTGACGTCTACAACATGAGAGATCCACATTTAACACAAATTATCCTGAATATCCGGCGTTGCTTGTGTGAGGAGGGGTAGGGGTGGGGTTTTTTTTGGGTGAAGGGGTGGAAAGGAAGTGGAAGAGAGAAGCGGAAAAGGGAGACAATGAAGGTA